CCTGGATCATCTGTCAACCCCTTTTTATGAATTGGAACAATAATCGCATCCTTCCATATTCTTGGTACCTTCCCACTGTTGTTTACGGCATCAAAAGTAGCGGCCAGGATTTTCGCCCACCAGTCTGCATGAAGTTTTATAGCTTCCGCCGGGACTAGGTCAGGACCGGGGGCTTTTCCGATTTTAAGATTAGAAATGAGTCCGTGAATTTCTTCCGGATCAGTGGGTGGCCAAAGAGGGAGCTGCTCATAGAATCCATCGATTGTATTAGTATTAAGGTCTGGTAAGGCAAAATAGTTCCTTAGAAAGGATTCCCAAACTGGGGCAGGAATAACTGTTAAGGGGTATCTTTTAGATTTTCTGTTAACCAACAGCCAGAATTTTCGGGAATTACGGGTACTTGAGGCAGCTATAAGTGCTTGCCAACGGTTCAGTTGCCATTCCTGTTTGGCCTTTTTTGCACATATTTGTAAGCTGATTTTGCCCCTGAGGATTTGTAATCATTATAAATAGCACAGAGGTGTTGTTTGGCTTGTTTGCAATTACGGTTAAACCACAGTGCACCTGTCTTGGAGCCATCTTAGTGATGAATTAACAGCCATCTTAGTGATGAAAGAGGACTTTCCCCCTTTCTTTGACAGAAGAAAGCAGCATAACCAGTAGTTATTTTTAAGGATGACTATGTCACCGACTGCAAACTGCATGTACAATAAAGATAATTTTAAAATGTGTCTCTATCTCATTTTTAATATAATTTTTATGAAATTTTATTTTTTACAATTTAGAATATTCATTTAAACAACCTTAAAATATCAATGACTTCCCTTCTTCTCTTTCCATGGTTCGTTTTGCACAACATAAATCCCTGCATATTTTACATAAACCAAACCATTCATTATTCCATTATTACATCCATCACAACTTATTTACACTGTTGAATTTATCTTAACGCTGCCAACGTTTTCAAGTGTACACAATCCCCCCATATATTCAATAAACATTTTCCAATCTTCTTTAAACCTATGTTCTTCTTGTTCTCTTACCAAACATGTCTCTATTTCAAATCTGTACTTCCTTTTACTGAACGCTGTGAATTACATTCCAGTAATATGTCAATACGTATAGTTAAAGCCATGGTTTTCCCAGTAGTGATGTATGGAAGTGAGAGCTGGACCATAAAGAAGGCTGATCGCCGAAGAATTGATGCTTTTGAATTATGGTGCTGGAGGAGACTCTTGAGAGTCCCATGGACTGCAAGAAGATCAAACGCATCCATTCTTAAGGAAATCAGCCCTGAGTGCTCACTGGAAGGACAGATTGTGAAGCTGAGGCTCCAGTACTTTGGCCACCTCATGAGAGGAGAAGACTCCCTGGAGAAGACACTGATGCTGGGAAAGATGGAGGGCACAAGGAGAAGGGGGCGACAGAGGACGAGATGGTTGGATAGTGTTTTCGAGGTTACCAGCATGAGTTTGACCAAACTGCGGGAGGTAGTGGAGGACAGAGGTGCCTGGCGTGCTCTGGTCCATGGGGTCACGAAGAGTCGGACACGACTAAACGACTAAACAACAACAAAATATGTCAATATGTCTAAAATATGGTCTGAAACTCAACATAAAAAAAACGAAGATCATGGCCACTGGTCCCATCACCTCCTGGCAAATAGAGGTGGAAGAAATGGAGGCAGTGAGAGATTTTACTTTCTGGGGCTCCATGATCACTGCAGATGGTGACAGCAGCCACGAAATTAAAAGACGCCTGCTTCTTGGGAGCATTCCTTTGGCTGTTCTGAGGAATCAGCAACAAATATACTGAAGCTACTTGTTTAATTTTTCTTGTAAATGTATAAAAGCATAGATAACATGCCAAGGTAAACTGAATTTAGCACCGCAGCTTGAAACACCACTTTAGAATAATATGGAACAACAGCAAAGAAATAAAGAATAGATTTATAAATTTGAACACACTTGGCACCTATCCATGCACTTCCTGGTCATTGTTTGTATCAATCCCATACTCTGAGTAAACCCATTGAAATTAATGTACCTAAGTTTGTTGTTGGCAAACCTTGCCAACAAAGGTCCGTATAGTTAAAGCCATGGTTTTCCCAGTAGTGATGTATGGAAGTGAGAGCTGGACCATAAAGAAGGCTAATCGCCGAAGAATTGATGCTTTTGAACTATGGTGCTGGAGGAGACTCTTGAGAGTCCCATGGACTGCAAGAAGATCAAACCTCTCCATTCTTAAGGAAATCAGCCCAGAGTGCTCACTGGAAGGACAGATCCTGAAGCTGAGGCTCCAATACTTTGGCCACCTCATGAGAAGAGAAGACTCCCTGGAAAAGACCCTGATGTTGGGAAAGATTGAGGGCACAAGAAGAAGGGGACGACAGAGGACGAGATGGTTGGACAGTGTTCTCGAAGCTACCAGCATGAGTTTGACTAAACTGCGGGAGGCAGTGGAAGACAGAAGTGCCTGGCGTGCTCTGGTCCATGGGGTCACGAAGAGTCGGACACAACTAAACGACTAAACAACAACAATATGTCAATCACTTAGTTAACTGTCCAGCTTAATCTCTTGACTGCAAAATAAATCCAATCAGATAGCAGATTACTTTTAGTTTAACAGATGAAAGGGCACACTTCTTCAGATGCATGCACATGAAAGCTCATACCAATAACAAACTTAGTTGGTCTCTAAGGTGCTACTGGAAGGAATTCTTTTAGTTAATTCTACATTACATCTCCTCCCTCCAATTACTTGCAGGCTGTACTATATAAATTCTACAATAGAAATAAATCATATGGCTGGTTATTGATAGACCTCAGAATGAATTAATGAGTAAAACATTTGGCTGTTGAATAGTTTGTTTATCTATCCATCTGTGTTTCAACAGGTAGATCTCCTGATGTTGAGCCTAACACAGGGTTTCCCAAACTTGTGTCTCCAGCTGTTGTTGGACTACAGCTTCCATGATCTCTGACCATTGGTCCTGCTAGCTAGGAATGATGGGAGTTGTAGTCCAACAACAGCTTGAGACCCTGGTCTAAGGGTAACAGGGGATCTCTTCTTCTCTTTGTGTAGTCTTTGGCATTAACTGTAGATATCCATGATTTCTAATGAATTCTCCTCAATTGGTCTTGATGGCATAGGAACTGGGTGACAAGTACTTCTTCGCATTGGTTTGAGTCTTCCATCTTTTTTCATTGTCCAATTTAGCCCGAACAGGGTCTCCTGGATTGAAGTCAGATAGTGCACTAGCAGAATAGTGATTATTATAAAAGTATATGTAGGATTCTTTAGTCTTTCTGTCCCACTCTTGCAACTTTCCTTATATTAAGCCATGTCAGTGCGAATTTAATTTCAAGGCAGAAACAGTTGTCCTAAGTTGTGTGCTCATCAAGAGTTTTGCTGGGCTATAGCCTGTAGTCCCTAGTTTAGGATAGTGTGGATATTGTGGGCTGGAAGTAATGTGTTCAAAGTCATACTCTGGAACTGCTCAAAATCTGCAGCTGTAAACTGAGAACCAATGTCTGTCACAAGCTGTCTAGGAATCCTAAAGCATGCAAGGAATTTCCCTTTTCCACAGCAGTCACATAATAGGTAGAAATCTTGTTCTGTACTAATCTTGGATCCTAGAACAATAGGCAAGTAGGATCCTAGAATGCAACAACTGATTGGCTTGCAGGAAAAGACCAATCAGGCTCCAGGAGGAAGTTAATCAGCCTGTTAGGCTGGTCAGATCATAGAGTGCAACAGCTGATTGGCCTGCAGGAAAAGACCAATCAGGCTCCAGGAGGGAAGCAGAATCGGCCAATCAAACGGGACTCATTGAGTAAATAATGTATATAAAAACCTGAGGTTTGGGGGCAATTCATCACTGTTTTACAAGCTGCAATAAAGAGCATGAAATCACTACAGGACTCCGAGGATATTTTAAATCTGCATGGAACAATCCACCATGACCTCAAAGTTTTGTTCCTGGTATTTGAGCCCTCACGGTGAACCTTTTAAGACCCAGCCCAGGCCCTTGATGGATCTCACGGGATCCTTATGAAAGGTAGCACCCCACAAGACCTCCTGCGAATCTACCGGGAGGAGTTTAACTCTGCCCCCACCCCTGTTTTCCAGGCTCCACATCTCCGGGGAATGATGCCCCATGTACAGGTAATGCCAGGACTGAGATTTGTAATATGAGCTGTACAGTATTATGGGCTCAACTGCTTCAATGCCCAATTGACAAAAGCAGACAGGTTGGTTCTAAGAAAAGATTGTGAGTGTCTCCCTTCCAGTAAGGGAGATGGTGAAGTGTTAAAACAGGCACAGTGAAGTCTCTACAGTATGTGGAAATTTCAAGAGTATAAAGGGGAACAGCTGGAATAAAGTTTTTGCTACAGTTTCCAGCTGCTGGCTAGGATGTTTTATGTCAGTACCACAGCCAGTACTTTGAATGTCATTACAGTCAAACTTTGGTTGTCCAACGTAATTTGTTCCAGAAGCCCGTTCAGCTTCCATAACATTCGACAACCGAAGCGTGGCTTCCGATTGGTTGGTTGGTCCTTCATTCAAGCGGAAGCCACATCAGACATTCGGCTTCCGAAAAACGTTCGAAAACCTGAGCATTTACTTCCAGATTTTCGGTTTGAAACGTTCCAAAACAGAGCCATTCGGGCCATTCCCCTCTTTATCTAAAAGCCTTCATTTTTAACATGTTGACATTTGGGTAGGATTTAGCACTCTGCTAAGTTATTTTTCGGGGCAGGAAACATGTTACACATTTGAAATGAGGCACATGAATTTCACCTACTTCCAAGAACCAACCAGTGTTTTACAATCAACTTTATTTTACATTTAGTTTGTAGTCAGTGGCATAATCATCCTAAAAATCAACTGCTGGTTTTGATATTGGGCTGATTCCACAGCGTCTGTAGAACAAAGGGGGGGCTCTTTTGTCACTAAGAAAGCTGGCCATTGGAAGCCTCGGAATGGTCCCCTTATGTTCATGGATGAGCTGGGTTTACTGTTTTCCCCATGAAAAGCATGGGCCCATCAACTGATGCCATTAAGAAAAAAAAGTATGGCCTGTCAAAGACCAAAGGAACAGGAGGGGGCCCAGGAGCAGCTCCAACCTTAGAGCTCATAAAGGTGGCAGCGGCTGCCTCGGTGCCACTTTCATTTATATCCAGAAATGCCTTGTGAGAAGCCTGCACAGGAGGGAAAATAGGTATTTTACTGGAAACCATCACAGCCTCCAACACATCACAGATGAAACGGAAGACACATGTATACTCCCCCTATCCTCATTCAAAGGATGGTCTCCCAGTACTTCCCCAATCACTGTTCTTCCCCCTGGATACGGGATGTATGTGTGTTGGATATAGGAATACAATGCAGAGCTAAAGCGACCTGATGTAGGTTTGTGGTGGAGAGACATGAGTGACACATTGCACTCAATGGAATAAAGGCAGGATATAACAAATTTTCCACATTATGTGAAGTGGCCCAGATGTTCATCTCAGTGGGTAAAGGGACCCCTGACTATTAGGTCCAGTCGCAGACGACTCTGGGGTTGCGGCGCTCATCTCGCTTTATTGGCCAAGGGAGCTGGCATACAGCATACATGGGGCCACATGACCAGAGCAGTGCACAGAAACGCCATTTACCTTCCTGCCAGAGTGGTACCTATTTATCTACTTGCACTTCATGCTTTCAAACTGCTAGGTTGGCAGGAGCTGGGACCGAGCAACGGGAGCTCACCCAGTCGCGGGGATTCGAACCGCCGACCTGATCGGCAAGCTCTAGGCTCTGTGGTTTAACCCACAGCACCACCCGCATCCCATCTGGGTGGGTACCAGGAATGATTAATGCTTCATTGGAAGGAGAAAAGGTACCATCTGCCTTGAAGGAAGGGATAGTACACTCTTTGCTTAAGATAATCTCCCTGCACCCAGAAGTGTTAAACCACTATTGTCCAGTGGCAAATATCTCCTTTCTACTCTATTCCGAACTTAAAAATGGAAAGCGTAAAGCTGATGGTCACCAAAATAGATTTAAAGACTCTCTCAAGGCAAATCTTAAAAAATGCAGTATAAACACCGACAATTGGGAAACACTGGCCTATGAACGCTCCAATTGGAGAACAGCCTTTACCAAAGGTGTCATGGGCTTTGAAGACACTCAAACTCAGGATGCAAGGGAGAAACATGCTAAGAGTTGATCTTGTGCTAAGTTGATCACCGTGATCAACTCCCACCCAGAAACCCACCTGTATATGCAGATACAGAACTGGCCTCCACAGTCACATATGGACTCACCGTTAATACCATGTTCTTGGGAGACAATCTTACTCGGCTACGAGTGATCACCAAAGAAGAAGAGCAATTCCTGTCTGGCTTCAGGCCATGTCATGGCACTGAAACTGATTTGGTTGCCCTTGTTGTTGATATTTATCAAGAGAGAGATGGGATGGGGAATGTGACACTGCTCAGTCTCCTTGATCTCTTGGCAGCTTTTGATACTGTTTACCACAGTATCCTTCTGAGGCATTTCAAGGAGTTTGGGGTTGGGGCACTGTAGTTCCATCCTTGTCTCCAGAGCCTAGTGGGTGGTCCCCTAGATTGGATGGATGGGAGGTTGCCTGCTCTTGATGGGGTAACACCCCCTTTGAAGTAGTGGGTATGCAGTTTGGGGGCATTTCTGGATTGGATCCATTGCTGTCACTTGAGGCTCAGGTGGCCTCAGTGGTATGGCGTGCCTTCCATCACCTACTTAATCTTGTAAAAAGCCCAATCACATACCATGAAATACCCAAACTGACCACATTTACATACGTACTTTGTCAATCTTCAGCTTGCCACCTCCAGTAATTCCAGTCAGGTCAGCGTTGGGAGTAAAGACTTCGGAAATGCCCAGCCCAGGCAACAAATCTTTGAGATCGTAGGATGTAGCCATTGATAATTTGGGGATGGACAAATAAAATTGCGTTCTGAACAAGAATCAAAACGTTAAAAGATAGGCGATAAGAAACTTTGTTTAGAAACATGCAGCATTTATGGCTTCAAGTCTACATATACCGGTACTTAAAGGGAAGCATTTTGCAGTTTGTTTTCGGGTGTATCCAGAAGCGTCGTGTGGGGAGGGCCAGGGACTGAAGCCCCAGGCGCATGATTCGGCAGGAGCGTGAACCAGGTGTCAGCTTGCAGGCACCCCTACCCTGCCTGTTGCTGCCGTGCTGCAAGTCTTCTCGCTGAATGGCAGCATTGGGGGGGGGGCGGCCTGGCCCTGTATGAGCGAGTGGGCAGGTGGTGCACTGTGGCCCCATGAACCCTCCACACCCCACACCCACTCAGTGGTGTCAGCAGCAAGGGTTGGGCTGGAGTGCTGGGTTTCACACCCAGCCCCTGGTCCCACATGCATGCAAACAAAACATGCACCACCACTGAGTATATCAGTTCTGATTGTGTTCTGTGTTTCTTTGCTGCTGTCAAGAGTGGGAGGCGAATAGCTTACTAAATCCCACAGGAATACGGTGAGCATATACTGCTAACCAAATAAATCTTGTACTTGCAGAGCAGAGCACAAAGTTCTAAGCTTCATTGCAGGTAAGAGAATCTTACAAGCATCTTTTCCTGCTGACCCAGTGAAGGAAAATAGGATGGCGATGAGTGTTCATGACTCCTACAGCATCTTGAAACATTAGGTAGGCAAATCCTACCACTAGAGGGAGGGTCCTTATCATTCCCACAATAGCCCCTAACTGGCCCCAAGAAACCTCTCTCTTTTTTTGGCCTCTTTCATACTACTGGGAGTCATTTGTTTGTAGTGGCAATGCTTGATAGCTTTAACTGGCTGTTAGTCTGGGCTGGAAAGGAAAGTGAGGAGATGGCAGGGAGTAAATAACTGAGGCAGTATTGGGTTAAGAGCAACCTTTGGTCACCTTATTCAGACTTGTACTGGGTCACTGGAAATGAACTTTAGGCTTGGCATGCACATTTGGGGGCAAGGGGGCAGGTCCAGTAGCGCTACTCTGCACTTGTCAAGCTCACCAGGAAACTCAGAGAAAGAAGGAAGTATCCCTTCCAATTATTTTATCTGCATCACTGAGATGCCCTGCTGTCAGGAGTGACACGATTTTAGGGAACTTAATAATAATAATAATTTATTATTTATACCCCACCCATCTGGCTGAGTTTCCCCAGCCACTCTGGGCGGCTCCCAATCAGTGTTAAAAACAGTACAGCGTTACATATTAAAAACTTCCCTGAACAGGGCTGCCTTAAGATGTCTTCTGAATGTCAGGTAATTATTTATCTCTTCAACATCTGATGGGAGGGCGTTCCACAGGGCGGGCGCCACTACCGAGAAGGCCCTCTGCCTGGTTCCCTGTAGCCTCACTTCTCGCAACGAGGGAACCGCCAGAAGGCCCTTGGCGCTGGATCTCAGTGTCCGGGCTGAACGATGGGGGTGGAGACGCTCCTTCAGGTATACAGGACCGAAGCCGTCTAGGGCTTTAAAGGTCAGCACCAACACTTTGAATCGTGCTCGGAAACGTACTGGGAGCCAATGCAGATCTCTCAGAACCGGTGTTATGTGGTCCCGGCGGCCACTCCCAGTCACCAGTCTAGCTGCCACATTCTGGATTAATTGCAGTTTCCGGGTCACCTTCAAAGGTAGCCCTACGTAGAGCACATTGCAGTAGTCCAAGTGTGAGATATCTAGAGGATGCACCACTCTGGCGAGACATTTGGCGCACAGGTAGGGTCTTAGCCTGCGTACCAGGTGGAGCTGGTAGACAGCTGCCCTGGACACAGCGTTAACCTGCGCCTCCATGGACAGCTGTGAGTCCAAAATGACTCCCAGGCTGCGCACCTGGTCCTTCAGGGGCACAGTTACCCCATTCAAGACCAGGGAATCCCCCACACCAACCCGCTCCCTGTCCCCCAAAAACAGTACTTCTGTCTTGTCAGGATTCAACCTCAATCTGTTAGCCGCCATCCATCCTCCAATCGCCTCCAGGCACTCACACAGGACCTTCACTGCTTTCACTGGTTCTGATTTAAAGGAGAGGTAGAGCTGGGTGTCATCTGCATACTGATGAACACCCAGTCCAAACCCCCTGATGATCTCTCCCAGCGGCTTCATATAGATATTAAAAAGCATGGGGAGAGGACAGAACCCTGAGGCACCCCACAAGTGAGAGCCCAGGGGTCTGAACACTCATCCCCCACCACCACTTTCTGGACACAGCCCAGGAGGAAGGAGCGGAACCACTGTATGACTGTGCCTCCAGCTCCCAGCCCCTCTAGACGGTCCAGAAGGGTGCTATGGTCGATGGTGTCAAAGGCTGCTGAGAGATCCAGCAGAACTAGGAAACAGCTCTCACCTTTGTCCCTAGCCCTCCGGAGATCATCAACCAGCGCAACCAAGGCAGTTTCAGTCCCATGGTGAGGCCTGAATCCCGATTGGAAGGGATCCAAATGGTTCGTTTCCTCCAGGCGTGCTTGGAGTTGTTCAGCAACCACCCGCTCAATCACCTTGCCCAAGAATGGCAGATTTGAGACTGGGCGATAGTTGGCCAAATTGGCCGGGTCTAAAGATGTTTTTTTAAGAAGCGGTTTAATGACCGCCTCTTTCAGCGGGTCTGGGAAGGCTCCTTCACAGAGGGAAGCATTCACCACCCCGCAGAGCCCATCACCCAGCCCTTCCCGGCTAGCTTTTATAAGCCAGGATGGGCAGGGATCAAGGAGACAGGTGGTCGGTTTCACTTGTCCAAGCAGCCTGTCCACATCCTCGGAGGTAACAGATTGGCATTGATCCCATGTAACAGGACCAGACAGAACTCTAGCACTCTTGTCTTCATACACCACATTTTGCTTAGGCTAAGTATAATTTGTTTTGCAGGTCCCCTAAAGGGTCATATTAAATAAACATAATTGTTTTCACCACAGTTAGTTTCTTGGCTCTTCTGTTGGTGTGTTGGCAGAGTCCTTTGCACATATGTCCTCCTTGATTTAAAAACAGATCCCTTTATTCCATGCATTAATAAATACTAATTACTACAGGGACATATAGAAACAGCAGAGAAAAGGCTTACCCTGTTTCTAAAGATTTTCTCCATTTGGACAAAGTTTCCCCTTTCAAACCATCCTCAACTTTCTCCAGTTTGCCTTTGTCAGGCAGAACGAACCAGGCAACAGCACCTCCTTTGTAAGGAAGTTCAATGACCCAGCAGGAAAGACTTTCATCACGTACATGTCTAAAATAGCCAGTTTTCTTCATCATGTTGACTTTCACAGTTGTCTTGTCATCAACAAAAAAATCTCCTTTTTTGGTATTTTGAGGAACGAATGGATATTCCCACTCATCTTAGAAAAAAGGAAGAGTTAGTTGCCTATTTGAGAATTAACCTTCAGCCATGTGTATGAAAGCAGTGTGTTGAATCAGGAGAGTGCCGACAAAGGAGAAAGATTGCCAAGGGTAAGTCAACATGCTATTGGTGTTTCAGAACATGCCCAATCGCCTTCTAAATCCAGCCCGCAGATGGTCAGCATAGTTTTTACATGAGTAGAATGTTTCTTTTTATTTAAAACACATCTCTGGGTTATTTGTGGGGCCTGCCTGGTGTTTTTACATGAGTAGAATGCGTGCTTTTATTTAAAATGCATCTCTGGATTATTTGTGGGGCATAGGAATTTGTTCATTTCCCCCCCTTCAAAATATAGTCCAGCCCCCCACAAGGTCTGAGGAACAGTGGACTGGCCTCCTGCTGAAAAAGTTTGCTGGCCCTTATTTCAGAAGATAGCAAGGGAGAGAAGAAATGGGAATAGTGGGGTCTCATGGGCCCAAACGTGGACTGAGTCAAGGGGAGCTGCTTCCTGTCTGGTAGATAAAAATCCAGGGGCAGGGACCTTGGTGCCCTCTGGATGTTGCTCGAGTTCACCACCATCAGTGTCAGCCAGTGTGCCCAATGGTTAGGGATGGTGGAAGATGTAACCCAAAAACATTTGGAAGCCTGCAGGTTAGCCATCTCAGCCTCATCCCGTGTCCTTTTCTAATGCTGCATTGAATGCTACATATTTTGGGACGTTCAACAGTTTTCAAGCCACCCCTTAGCAACTGGTAACTTGGCAGGCAATGATGACAAAGTTATGTGCTTTAGTTAGCAAAGCTTCCTTTGTTTTGAAGGTATACTCCTTGCAACCCAGCCAGATGGGTGGGGAATGATGATGATGATGATGATGATGATGATGATAACAACAACAACAACAACAACAACAACGGAACAATTCATAGCCTTAAATATTGATTACTTATCTTTCTTCAACATACCTTTGAAGTAGATATAGTTCACAAGAACCATCATGGTGTTTGGATCTAAGCCTCTTACTACTTCACGTATTTTTCCTTTAGTGTTGGCCTTCACAAACTCATTTATCTGCTTTTCAGCCACTACATTGTCTTTGAAGTTAACAGCAAAGATCTCAGATTTGTAGAAATTTTGGAGATCCTTATTGTACCTAGTGGCTATTTTGATGCCCTTAGCTAGGTACAAGCCATTCCCCATGTTCACCATGCCTTGATGATTTGAACTGGTCAGCACCTTGAGGAACTCTTGAAATCCTTTATGTATCATGCTTGTGTCAATTTTATCCAATCCAAGTCCTTTGTAAATTTGCTTTTCGGTGTTTGATTTAGCACCCATGCCGATCATTGAAAATGCCATGGAGATACTCATAGGGGAGAAGAAGATATTTTTGCCACCCTGGAGTGAAGATACTTGTCTGGAGACCTTTCTGGCACCTTGACGTGAAGTTATTAATTTGGAGAATTTAAGGGCAAAGTCATCAATGCTGGAAGCAATCCTTTCTTGAACTGAATCTTTAGCTCCATAACCATTGTGAACTTGAAGGACAATCAGTAACAAGGAGAGGAGGATGGTTGGTTTCATTGCAATTTGAGATTCACTAAAAAGGAAATGCAAACACCACCAGACAGAATGTATTAGCACTCTCCTATGGAAATATACTCGAATAATTCATTTTGGTCAAAAGCAAAATTTACTGGGAATGAGTCATCTTCATGTGTTGCTTGTGGCATAGTTCTACAGACCTATGTAACAGAAAGACATACAGGTCCCACAATGCATTCCCTCGAAATCATTTGTTAGGTGAGTGTTTGCATATAACAAGTTGACAGTTTTCATTATTTCCTTTGGGAACTTTTCTAATCAGGGATTTGTCCAATCTCTCTCTCCATTCTCCCCAAGGTTTCTTCCTGAAATGACTGCTACCAGATAGCAAAGAACAAAGAAGTAAGGAACTGGGAAAAATTTACCTGTTTAGATATCTGAATCTGCATAGTGCATAGCAAGGTTTGGGCATAATTCCTTATGTTTGGATAAGTGAATTTTCACATATGGAGCAGGCAGATAGTGGTAACCGCATGTAATTTACTTTGTATACAGAAGGATATATGGATCTCTATCATATATGCCTTTCAGAATTTATAATAATTTGGAGCCAAATTCAAATTTCTTAACTACTTCCACTAAATAATTTGGTTCTACACAATTAAGTGCTTTAAAAAATTCCAAGTGAGAGACTTGCTAAAGTGTTTTTGTTATGTACTAAGCTTGGATCCTAGAAAAATAGGCAAGTAGGATCCTAGAATGCAACAACTGATTGGCCTGCAGGAAAAGATCACTCAGGCTCCAGGAGGGAAGCAGAATCAGGACTCATTGTGTAAAGCATGAAATCACTACAGGACTCCGAGTATATTTCAGTTTTATTTTTGATTTGTTTTTGCTTTTTTACGAAAATGAAGAATGTTTGATGATTTTCTTATTGGATCAGTCATTCTTTGCCCTGGAACAAAATCAGTTTGTTCTAGGTATATATAGCTGCCAATAAACGTTTTTAATCCATTGACCAGATAGTTTAGATTTAATAGTTTAGATTTAACAAAGAAATCAGTTGGTATGAGTCAAAATTAGTGGGGCCCATGTGGGGTGTAGAAATAGCTACTACTCTTGAATGCTTCTAAGTTGTTTGTTAAAACTATGTTGAATTCTCCTACTAGCTACATATGTGGTGTGTGCAATTGTACATACAGTGGAGTTCGTTTTTACCTCTTTTCCAAAAATTCCAAGTTTATGGCTCCTCCAGCTACCCTGCTAGAATCACATGAAGCACTTCCCACCCCTAGGAATCAGCTGCTGGGTTTCCAATTCTCACAGTATTTGGATCTTAGCAGACAGCGGCCTTACTGTGCCCTGATTGGTCCATTTGCTTTTCTAAAATAAATAAATTGTGATGAATTAACACTTCATCATCTGGGGTTCCCTCTAGTTCATCATCCTTGCCAGTGATGTAGCCCATCATCCACAACCGGCTTGCCTTATATTCTGTCTTCCTCAAAACCGATGCAAGGTGTCCTAGTTTGGGGACTGTCCTGAGCTGCTTCAGCCACTCAGGCAGCTTCACCAGGCCCTGGTGTTAAATGCCACCTTTTAGAGTCAGCCACTTCTGCAAGGGGGCAGGTGGCCTGATGTTAACTTGTACCTCTCCCCACTCACACGCATTCAGCTACTTGTCTCGGCCCCACGTACCTCCTCCTGCTTTCACCTGCACTTTCATTGTCTAGTTCTACTTCTCCCCTCCTTAAATTCGAAAATCATGAACATTTTCACCCTGTCCTTTTTCGATGGTGTATTGTGAACAATTACTTTTCAGATCCTTTTTATACATACCTAGGTTTCCCCCAAAACGTCCTGTAGTGCCTCTTATTACTTTGGCACTTGCTCCTTTGGGCTGAGATGTTTGCTCTTCCCTCTTGCTTGTAGAGTAAGCTCTCTTCTCCTTAGGTTACCTTCCATTTATAACCCTGGCTTGCTTCTACCTGCTGCTGCAGCAGCCAATTGGGTAAGGACACCTACCTGGTTTCTATCTGATGCTGCGCCAGCCGATAAGATCACAATCTTATGGTTTGAAAAACACAAATATGTGGTTGGTACCAGTTCCAATGAGCTGTAGTTAAACAGTGGGGTTTAGGAAAACTTAGCCCCCAGAGTATGGGGAGTTTTGCCAGCGAAGTTCAAAGTGAATTGTCATTGAGTAGGGATTAAAGGGAGGATGAACTTCGTTTCATCACTCCAGAGATTGCAAAAACTGTGAACTAAAGTGTAATTTCACTCCATGGTTTGAAAAACACCAATATGTGATGGCCAAGCTACTGAACTGCATCCAGTTCTAGTGAGCTGTAGTTTAATAGTGGGACTTATGACAGCTCTGCCCCCAGAGTATGGAGAGTTTTGTCAGTGGAGTGCAGAGTGGATTGTTGTTGTTGCTGGTATCCATAGACAAGGGAGTGTGCCTCAGGGGGCAAAGTCAAACCGCTGTGTTAGCAGCACCAAAGTGACTTCCCTGGGGTGCAATCCTAGGCAGTGTGATTAAAGGGAGGGTGTGCTTAGGTACATACATACATACATGATGCTGGTTAAACCACTGAGCCTCTTGGGCTTGCTGATTGGAAGGCTGGCGGTTCAAATCCACACAACAGGGTGAGCTCCCATTGCTCTGTTTTAGCTCCTGCCACGCTAGCAGCTCCTGCCAACCTAGCTAGGTTCTGCTACGTGGGGGTGGAGGAAGGCGGTGTGGTGTGTGGTGGCCGCCCCGGGTGTCACCACTGAAGGGGTGACAAAACAGCAGGCGGCCCTCACCTCTGGGCCTGCAACGTGCCCGAGCCACACGTCTCTCCTTTGAGTGATGTGGTGGCTTGGGTGCCAGCAGGCTCCATGCTGCCCCAAACAGTCAGCCCACCTGTAGGGTGGCTGAGTGGGAGGAGGCAGGCAGACTCCTTGGAGGCCCTGCGGAGCATCCTGCCCTGGCTGGCCCCACCCCCGCTGGTGACTGGCCCCGCCCCTGAGCACAGGGCGCACACGCCACCCCAGGCACCCAATTGGCTTGCTCCACTGCTGCAGCTGCAGCAGGAAGGTAAATGGAATTTATGTGTGCTCTGGCACTCATCCCAGTGTTCCATTACTCCAGAAGTGGTTTAGTCAGGATGGCCACATGACCCAGAAAGCTGTCTGTGCACAAGCGGCAGCTCCCTCGGCCTGAAAACGGGATAAGTGCCGCACCCCATAGTCGCCTTTGACTGGACTTAACGGTGCAGGGGTCCTTTACCTTTACCTAACCTACCTACCTACCTACATGCATAGTTGTATTTGTATCCCACCTTTGCACAGTTCAAACCATGCTCAAGGCGGCTTAACATAGCCCTTCTGTTAATACAATGCTTTCAACTTTCAGTTCAGTATAAAACCAATTGTAAACTAGTTTGAGTTCTAAAGCTTCCATAGGAAATTCTTTAAATTGGACCTTATACCGTATTTTTTGCTCTATAAGACTCACTTTTTCCCTCCTAAAAAGTAAGGGGAAATGTGTGTGTGTGTTATGGAGCGAATGCAGGCTGTGCAGCGATCCCTCTTGCTGTTCTGGCTTCTGAGATTCAGAAAATATTTTTTCTTGTTTTCCTCCTCCAAAAACTAGGTGCGTCTTGTGGTCTGGTGCGTCTTAGAAAAATACGGTACTTTATGTTCAAGTATCAAGAAACCTGCCAGCCTAAGATCAGAACTTTCTTGAAAAGAAAAAAACCCTGTTGATTTCTACGTGGCCAAAGTCATTTCGGAATATAATATGACCGATTATCAAGTGTTATATCTTGGGGGGGGGGACCAGGTTCTTGTATGTTTGTCTTCCCCAATTGTAGAAGATAAGGCAAGCGTTGATTTCAGGGATGTTGTTTCGCAGTTGCCATCTCTCCAGTGCTGTACATGTACGCCGATGGGCTTCACTGTTAAAATTACTTTTATGCTTTCTAACAAATTCCATCTTTTTCCTCTCTGTGGATACACCATTTGTAGGCATCAGATGGACACATGCTAATTTTGACTCCAACTAAAGAACATTTTGTAGGGAGCACGTTCTTGGCTGTCTGTTTCACCCAGGGTCAGCAAATACTCATGTACCAGTACGTTACACCATTGTTCCATTAATGATGACCACCCTCAGGATAAAAGTGATGACAACTATCTGAAAATATCTCAAAGTAAAATTGACTTGGGCAGAACATTCTCCTATCAGGTTGGCAGCTGGCAGCAATAAAGTTTTGTTTTCCATCTTTGCTGTGCTGCTTACTGAAGGATAAGATTACCACATTGTGCCAGCTTTTGTCAAGACGTGGCTTTAACTAAAGGAAGGTCAATGGGCAGGAAATAGAGATTTCCATCATTTCCTCCTCAAACCCAGCAGAGCATTAGTTAAAGATGAACAAGTTCTTCTAAAGATTTCTTTAAAAAAATACTTCCAGGTTTGCTGCGTTCTGGAGGCGATTTGTTCTTCAACTAAGCTGTTCAGGAACCAAGGTACCACTGTATATGAAATAGGTATACCATAGAGTTGATTGGAGGTTACGTACACACACACACACACACACACAGAGAGAGAGAGAGAGAGAGAGAGAGAGAGAGAATGCACTTAATTATAAATCTTACAGTCACATCTTAATCTTCTTTAGAAACTGTATTCATTTTTTCGAATGAGCTATGGCTGCTAAAAGAAACAACCACCTGGAGCTCAGCATTGCAAATGAAAGGCAAGAAAAAGTAAGGAGCAAGCAAAGCAAGAGGGGTTCTTCCTGAAATACCTACTTTTTAACGTTTTTGTGGAATTAAAAAAATGTCTCCTTTAATTTTTGTGGAAAAAATGTGTGTCAAATTCCATTAAAATCATGAAAAATGATTCCCAAGTACTTGCAGTTATATTATATATTAATAATTATATTATTGTTATTCTTATATACGCTACATGCTTTATATTGAATTGCATATTACAATTACACAACTACACACACAACTAATGTTGTGCTATATCTGCATTTGCTTCTTTT